AAGAGCAGAATTTTCAAAGCTAAAGCTTCACACAGAATCAAAAAGTATTAACTCACCAAGTTCTGTCTGTGTTCCCTCCTAAATATTTCTCCGTCTTCACAGATGCAACGCTTGCCCTTCCTTCTGTTCACTGGGCTCTTTGCCTCTCTCTGCACCTGCTCTCAACTACCCCACCCCTGACTACTCTCGCCGCCTCACAACAGCCAGGGTGGATTTTCCTAACTGCAGATGTGATTTTGCCACCCACCTGCTTCTATCTGTTCAGTGTCTTCCCTTGGCTCTCAGATGAACTTCATACTTTCAAACATAACTTACATGACGTGGCTTGGCCACTCGGAATATGGTGACCACATCCAAAACCTACCTGCACTCGGTGGTCAATGCCTCCTGGCTTGTACCTGCATCTCTGTATCACATCCTCTTAGGTGCAGGTCTTTATCTGGAGGGCCTGCCCTGACTCCCCAGTTCTAGGTAAGCACTGTAATGGTGGGCAGACCTCATCATCCTTGTTCAGCTCTCTTTCATCTGGGTTTCACTGGAAGCTGTGTTAGAACTTGCTTGCCATTGAATCTCTGGTCCTTGGCACTTAGTAGTTGTGCAGTAAGTGGTGGTAATCACCTGTAGGATCTGGGTCATAGCTTTTTGGGAAATTTTTAACATAAGTGATTAAATTTGGTACAATTGCTAAACATCCATTTGTGTAATTCTTGATGTTTATAAGGCTTTCCGTACATTATACTGTGGTGATTAAGCCTTATACACCAAATCAGCATGGCTTAGTTTTCTTTTATGATTCTTTTTTTTTTTACATCTTTATTGGAGTATAATTGCTTTACAATGGTGTGCTAGTTTCTGCTTTATAACAAAATGAATCAGTTATACATATACATATGTCCCCATATCTCTTCCCTCTTGCATCTCCCTCCCTCCCACCCTCCCTATCCCACCCCTCTAGGTGGTCCCAAAGCACCGAGCTGATCTCCCTGTGCTATGCAGCTGCTTCCCACTAGCTATCTGTTTTATGTTTGGTAGTGTATATATGTCCATGCCACTCTCTCACTTTGTCACAGCTTACCCTTCCCCCTCCCCATATCCTCAAGTCCATTCTCTAGTAGGTCTGTGTCTTTATTCCTGTCTTACCCCTAGGTTCTTCATGACATTTTTTTTCTTAAATACCATATATATGTGTTAGCATACGGTATTTGTCTCTCTCTTTCTGACTTACTTCACTCTGTATGACAGACTCTAGGTCTATCCACCTCCTTACAAATAGCTCAATTTCATTTCTTTTTATGGCTGAGTAATATTCCATTGTATATATGTGCCACATCTTCTTTATCCATTCATCCGATGATGGACACTTAGGTTGCTTCCATGTCCTGGCTATTGTAAATAGAGCTGCAATGAACATTTTGGTACATGACTCATTTTGAATTATGGTTTTCTCGGGGTATATGCCCAGTAGTGGGATTGCTGGGTCATATGGTTATGATTAGTTTCTTATTAAAATAAATAGATAAATAAATAATAACGACCAGCATGTGAATCTTAAGGCTTGCTTAAGAAACCTCTGGTCTCAGAATTTAGTAACAACATTCTACCTAGAGAAGGAAAACAGCCTTAATTTAATGATGACAAGGCTCAGAGGGAATGTACACATCATCTCTTTCACCATCGTACATAATTCTTTTACCTAAAGCTTTCAGGGATTACTTTCAGGGATTTCTCTAGTGGGGAAGAAATGTCAGAATCATCTTAGATCAAAACTTTATGACAGTGTTTTCTCAAAAATTGTTTAAAATAAATTTCCTTCAGTAAATATTGCCTGGAAAAAATGTCAAGTGAAAACTTTTTCCTGAAATGAAAGTCTCTGTGTATAAATCATGGTTACATTGCTCAATTTTCTGCTGATTAGGACAGGCTCACTGAATGTGAATGGACATTTGCTTCTGGCACTGTGGTCACTGGGTTATCTGCTGTTGCCTGGACTGTCATCTGTGTGGTGATCTAACAGCAGACTGGTCCCTGATGCGTTTGCTTCACAAGAGAGCTCTCCATTCATTGTTCACAGAACATGTTTTGCCTGGTCTTTATGTGTACTGTGTGCTGTGAGCAGCCCAGATATGATTCCAGCCCCCATGGGAACCTGCTCTGCCCCCCACTCCATCCCTGTGCTCATGGTGTGTGTCTCTCAGAGATGTGGTGATATTCAGGGATGAAGTGAGGAATCTATTTTCCACCTTTTTGATCAACTAGAAAGAGCTGAAATGTTGGCAGCTTGTTTTTTCAGGCTCCATCAACAGAACTCTATGTTGAATTGGCTGTGCCAGTGCTGCCTTGGATGCAGGAGACTGTTTTGCATATTTTCTGTCCCAAGTAGGACTTCGAGTGGAGAAGCGCGTGACAGCTATCTGGGGAACAGATGACTGGGTGAGGGCTTGTTAGCTGGAACTGGAAAACTTGTGTCCCTCCTCCCAGCGCCTCTCTTCCACCCCATGCCTTCCTTCCTGTTTCTTGGGTTCCTGATTCTTCGTATTTGGTGGATATGGTTAAAACAGGATGCTGGAGAGCTACTGTGTTTTTTGAGGAAATAGTATTTTACCTTCAAGGAAATGCCAAGGGTCATCTCTCCAGGTGGGTTCAAACTTAGTGTCAACTGATCCCAGGGGCTTTTCTCTATGTATGTGCCTCTCTGGGGGGAGAAACATGTTGGAGCAACTTTCATGTTGCTTTTTCTCTGCTGATGTTAGCGGAGGTATTTTTCAGCTCTGAGTAATCAAACAGTAGAGATGGCTTTCCAGATATTTGTTAAAGCTCCACTTGTACCAGGCACTATTATTAAGGCATTATAGGAGGTAAAATTTAATACAAGACCCAGTTAATCTTTTGGTAAATATCTACTGAACACTTCCTATGTGTCAGGCATCACTCTAGGTGCTAGATTTTGAAGTCATGACGTGTTCAAGAACGTCAATTCTATCTGGAATGCTTGGCCAATCACTGACTCTAAGCAGAGTCATCATTCAGCTACAGAGCGGATAAAAGAGATTTGATAAAAAGCAACATTAACAGGGGAAGTGATTGAGTAGCTGTGTGGGATGGAGGGTTGGACCATTAGATGGACTGTGTTACTACCATGTATGTACCACTCAGATATATAAACAGATAGATTATAATATCCATTTAAGAGGCATCAGC